AGAGATTCTCCGAGTGGACGCCCCCGCGCACAGCCGACGAGCCGAAGACTAGCCCGTGGCCCGTGGGCCGCGAGCCGGGCAGCGCCGAGTAGTGCATAGAGTAGTGGTAGCTTTTCTCGTGGTCGGGCGAGGAGTCCTGCTTGAGCGAGAAGTTGCCATTGAGACAGAGCGGGGGGCTGAGCGGGCCCTCGTACTCGGAGCTGTTGTAGTCCGGGCTCGCGCCGCCACCGCCTGCCGCAGCATACAGCGTCTCGTAGGCGGCGCAGTAGCCGTGGGTCCGCAGGGCGTGCGCCGCGCCGCCGCCCAGGCCGCCGGCCGCCTGGCACTGTGCGCCCGCCAGGCGCGAGCACGGATACGGGTAGGGGTGCATGGCGAACGGGCCGCCCGAGCCGTGGAAGCGGCCGGCACCGTCGGCGCCTTGCTCCGTGAGGAAGTTGCGAGAGTTGAGCTGCAGACAGCCGGCCACCAGATTGGTGGTGGGCTGCGACAGACCCTTGCACAGAGTCTGCACGTAGGACACTAGGTCTGGCCGCTTGCCGGAGCGCAGGATCTCCGAGAGCGCCCAGATGTAGTTCTTGGCTAGGCGTAGCGTCTCGATCTTGGACAACTTCTGCGTCTTGGAGTAGCAGGGCACCACCTTGCGCAGGTTGTCCAGGGCTGCGTTCAGGTCGTGCATGCGGTTGCGCTCCCGCGCGTTCGCCTTCTGTCGCCGAAGCTTGGAGCGCTCCAAGCGCGCCTTGGTCATCTTGCGCTTCTTGGGTCCGCGCTTCTTGGGCCGCTCGCCCTCCGCCTCGTCCAGTCCTTCTTCCTCCTCCTCTTCCTCCTCCTCCTCGCCCCCCAGCTCGCCTTCCTCCTTGACCTCGGCCAACGTGGCCTCCGGCCCCTCTTCTCCACGGAGAGGAACTGGCTTGGCCGCCCGGGCTGGCCCCGGAGCCCCCGGCCCGGGCGCAGGCGGTGGCGGTGGCGGCGCGTCGCCCTTGTCGCTCCTCGGCTCGTCGTCTTCGCCGTCGCCCCAGCTGGCGAACTTGGGCACGTCCGAGAGAAGGCCGGGCTCGCTGAACAGGCGGGTCAGCATGGTGCCTGAGGGCGCCCCGTGGGCGGGAAGGGGAGACAGACAGCACAAAGTGAGGGGCACGCTGGGGTCACGACGTCCCCCACAACCCGTCTCCACCCCCGAGTCTCGTGCAGGCTCCTGCCTAGGCTACCCTGGATGCCCACCTCCGCCGCCTGCCCCGCCCAGAGCCGGCCCAGCCCTACCCGGCTGCCGGCCTGGGATCTCGGCCCAGGCCCTCTCCCAGGCTCTGGGCCCCGGCTCCGCCCCTCGCTTGAATTGGGGGCTGCTCCCCGCGCCTGCTTCTTCTCAGGGTCAGGGCAGAGACCGGGTGGGAGTTTTAGGGACCAGATATCTTTGCCAGGGAAGGCGGCGCACTCGCCCTGAAAGCCTGTTCTCTCCTGGCAGTGGAGACAGGCTGGTCGGCCGCCGGTGGGGACAGCTGCCCCGCTCAGCGCTCTCGCGGCCCGGGCCCCTCGGCCCAGCTCCCTTACCCCTCCCGTGGCTCTCACCCCCACGCTCCCTAATCCAATTTGCAACTTGGCTGCGCGCCGCCCCTTGCTTGGCCCCCACCCCCGCACCCCCAATTCCAGAGGCGGGAGGATCGTCTCCTCTAGCCGATGCGTCCCCAGCTCCCGGAGCCGGCTCTGGGCGGTGAGGACTGAAGCAGCAGGGCATGGGGAGGAGACTGAGAGAAACGAGCCCAGTCCGTCCCCCCTACGGTCAGGGACCCCCTTCCCCCTTCAAGCTGCCTCCCTCCCACACGGCTCTTCAGATCTCGTTGTATTTGGGGATTGAAGGGGAAAAATCCAAATTTGTTTGTTTGCTTCCCTTTTTTTTGGTAGTGGGGAAAGGTCGCAGGCTTTTTGGGACAACCATGGAGGGGTCCTCCGTCTCGGCCTCTTCGCACCTCCCCCTCCGTGATCCTGCCTTCCCCCCACCCCCACCAAGCCCATCGCAGGCAGAGACACCTCCTCTGCAGCCCCCTGGGCTGCAGCCCCAAAGGGAGAGAGAATCTGGGGCGCCTCCGATGCCCACTCAATGAGGAGGGCATCATCCCAGGAAGGAGGTATTTGAGGACCCTCCTTTCGGCCGAAGCTGCCGCCCCCCCTCCCAACCAGCGGGTCAGATCTAGCTCCTTTTCGGACAACTTACCTCGGAGAGGAGTCAAGGGGAGAGGGGAGGGGAGGGGGGGAGGGGGCAAGAGAGAGAGGGGGGAGAAGCGGGATCTTCTCGCTTATTTCATTGTTCCCCCATCTTCAGGGAGCGGGGGCAGCGGCTCCTCAAGGCGGCGGGCGCCGGCGTCTTCAGAGCGCCATGCGAACCGCGGAGCGAGTGTGGCATCTCTACCAGGCGGGGTACCAGCCTCTATGCCAGGCCATATGGGCTTGGCACGTCACGGGCAGCAGCTATCACATGAGAGACGGTGATTGGCATGCGTCTGCACTGGGGGAGAGCCGGCTCCCCCGGGACCCGCCGCCATCTGTCACTCTCTACTCCAAAAAAAAAAAATTAAATAAATAAAGGAAATAAATAAATATTTCTACTGCCCTCCCCTCCCCGCCCAACGCAGGGAAAGCAGGGATTGAGAGGAAGGTGGGAGGAGTTGCCCCCCTGGATATAGAGTCCCCCACATGGGAACAATGGGGTGGCAAGGCTGGACACTGGGGACTCATGGTAGCCAATTCTATCCTCCCTCAGGGTCCCGCTCTGTCCATTTCCTCCCCTGCAGGCCCCCAAGGTGGGTCAGGGACCAGACCCTGGGCTGGGGAGAGGGGACCTCTGTGCTTGCCCCCACTCCCCAGGAGGGTCCCCTTGGCCACAAAGGGACAGCTGAGGCCCCCTCCCAGGAAGGCTGTAAGGGGCGTCCCTGGCCCGAGCCCCATAGGTAGATATTGGCACCATGCCATCCCTCATCCCTGTCTGCCCCTCCCCCACCCGCCCTCACGCACACACAACATATGTGGCTAAACGAAATTCAAACCAAGGGAAAGACAGAGAAAGGGAAAGATGTGCCTGGATGTCTGTGCCTCTGCATGGGCGTGTGTGTGTCTGTGGGGACATGTGTGTATCTGTGGAGTCAGCCGATGGGAGATCTTTCTTTGGTTGTTGGGGGCGTATCCATGTTAGGGTGGAGGTGGGGAGGGGCTGTGAGATGGGCCTGTGCACCACCCATCTGGGGGTGGAGGGGAGGGTCTAAGTCTGGATTCCTAACCTAGAAACCTCTCACTCTCCTCCTCCCACTGTCAGACAGGTGACCAGTCCACCAGCGGCTTTCTCTCTTGGCCTTCAGACTTGGTTATTTGAGGGAGGAGGAACAGGCAGTGCTGAGAACTGCCTAAGTTCCTGGATGAGACTCAAGTATTCTCCTCCCCTTGTGAAAAATCTGAAAATACTGAAGCCAACCCCAGTAATCCCAAGAGTGGCCAAGGGGAGGTAGGTCAGACAGGTGTCTTGGTAAGGAAGGTAGAAATTGCTGTTTTATCTTGCGGCTCACCTTTCAACCCTCTCACTGGGCCAGACGCAGACACAAATGGCACAGGTTGAAGAGGTGGCTTTGGATACACACACACACACACACACACTCTCATGCACACACACATACACACACATAGGCATGCATACACATGCACACACATACCTGTTCCTCACCCTGTGGTGTGGAAAAATAGAGAACACACCGCTACTCAGATAGACACATGTATGTGAGCAGGATCACAGCCTGGTGTAGACAGACCCTTGTCCACACCCCATTTCGGGCATTTGTGTGTTTTAGACCCACATTTCATGCCTCTCCAGACACTCTGGTTGACATATGCACACAACTTCAATTATACTTTCAGCACACACATGTTGATGTCCACCATGTGCCAAGCACTGTGGTGGTACAAAAATGAGTATGGGGAGGCCTTTACCCTCAGTCTGGGTGGGCAGGCTCTCTCCCTCTAGGAGGCTCCCCAGGGACCTTGGTAAGACACTGATCTGATGTTGGGTAGGCTGGATTAAGTTCTAAATAGAGACACACATCAGGAGGCCTTGGAGATAGGGGTGCTAGTGCTGCCGGAGACTCTTGGTGCTGCCTGAGTCACTTGGCCGGGAGTTGAAAGTAGCCTGAGAATGTACCTCTCCAACTCCTCCTCTTACAGAGGCCCATGGAAGGAAACTGACCTGCCTAGGAACACAGAGGGGAAACACAACTGGTCCTAGAACTCAGGCACTTGACCCACAGGCCAGTGCTTCACTTATAAGCCCACAATCTGCCTTAGTGGTCTCTAAAAATAAGCCTACCATGCTTCCCTTCATTCCCGGAACCTGGGTCTGCAAGGGGAATCTCATCTATGGCAGATAGTTGGGGTGGGGGGATTCTGGGCATGGCAGAGAAAGAGGCCAAAGGATGGGCCTTGGGTAGGCCAGAGACTCGGGAGTGCTGGCCAGTCCCCACCAAGTCTGGGCACAGCCTCGAAGGCTTTGCAATCCGTTTACTGAGGCAGGGTCCTCAATTCTGACTGGCAGCCTTTCTCCTGGAGTCTCCTGGCTCTGTGGTATTTCGATTACATGCTCATGCTCTGGGCTTCTGATTCCTGGCCAACCCCATTACCAACTTCAAAAAAATGCTGGGCCCAGCACGGTGGCTCACACCTGTAATACCAACAGTTTGGGAGGCTAAGGCCAGCAGATCCCTTCAGCTCAGATCCCTTCAGTTCGAGACCAGCCTGGGCAACATGGTGAAACTCTGCCTCTGCCTAAAATACAAAAATTAGCCAGGCATGGCGGCGCATGTCTGTAGTCCCAGCTACTCCGGAGGCTGAGGTGAGAGGATCGCTTGAGACCAGGAGGCAGAGGCTGAAGAGAGCTGTGAGCACGCCACTGCACTCCAGCCTGGGTGATAGAACTAGACCTTCTCTGAAAAAAAAAAAAAAAAAAAAAAAAAAAAAAAAAAAAAAATTTAAAAAATGCTGAATGCTTTGAGCAAGTTATATAACATGTCTTGGTCTTGATTTCCTCATCTATAAAATGGGATAAATTATGCTACACCCTCATAGGGCTGTTGTTAATACTAAATGAGATAATCCATGCCACAAATGAGCCTCCAATAAATGCCAACTCTTAATTAAAACACCTTTACAATATTATGTTTACAACGTTAATTTTTTTGCTCATACCCCTCCCCACACACATTCAGAATGCTTGGTCTATATAGAAACTGAATTTTTGTTGAATTGATGGGCAAGTGAATGGATGAATAGGTGAATAAATGCTTCCTTGGGGGAGAAAGTTGTGCCTTCTTGCCTTCTCCCTTGGACACTGAGGGCTGGGTTAAACCCACCAGGGGTATCACAGGCCCCTCCAGGCAGGAGGTAAAAACTTGTTCAGGATAGGGGAGCCCTTGGGTGGAGGGTTCCTGCCACCCTTCCAGCCACCTGTCAGGAATGACCTCAACTCTCTGGGTCTGAGAAGCTCCCCTCAGTCACCCGGAGAAGGAGGCCTGAGGTTCGGGGTGTGCACCTGAGGACTTCATCCCTTTCGTTCTGTCTCCTGCCTCTGTCTTTTCTTCCTTCAGAAAAATGGAACAAGTTTTTCTCACTCGACACATTTCAACTTTTTTTTAGAAGATACAATAAAAACCAGGGGAAAATTGGAACAGAGGGAGGTGTGGGATGGGCCTGCTTCAGACATGGGCTTGAAAGAGGCACAACACGTGTGTTCACATACACACGAGCAAGCATGAACACGCAGGGACATACGCGCGTCTCTCTGTGCACCAGAGATGCAGAGATGCAGTGACGGAGAGACAGAAAGAGCCAGAAATGGAAGGAAGGAGACGGAAGGAGAAGGACACCCAGAGATGCCATCTGTTCCTCCCCCTGGCATTGGGGGAAGGGAGTTGGTGAGGGGCCTGGTCCCCTCCAGGTCTCTGAGAGAAAAAAGGGAGTGATGGGCACCTCAGCCAGGCCTGGAAGGCCCCCATTGCTGCTGCCCACTCCTCTTGGAAGGAACTGGGAGCTGGGGGGCCTGAGGTTCCCATGGAGACATAGCCCCATCCCAAGGGAGGCCACAGTCTGGGCACCTAAAATGGCTGCCTCAGAGGGGTAGCGGCCATTTTGTACAGGCTCAGGTCCTGGGGGCAGGGGTGAGGGGGGCAGAGTGTGTGTGTCAGGGAGGTGGGAGGTCATCCCTGAGGAGTCTGGGGGACTCTTGCTCAGGGCACAGGAAGAGTGTTCTAGAAACTGCTCTCGTTATACCCCCTGCTCCACCAAAATACATACATAAATCTTTAACTGCTCCACTCCATTCTGACACCCAGAAGGACAGCTAGCCAGTCACCACCCCCCGAATGAGATTGGTGGTCACCACCCCTGAATGAGATTGGTGGGGGCACTGAAGGACACTTGATTTCCCACCAAAGCTCCAGGCAGGGAGGGCGGCAGCAGGTGGATCAAACCCAGGTGTCCAGCCCCTGGCCTCAGCCACACATTTATCTGCCTCCTGGGGCCTCTCTGGGCTGAGTGGGGCCGGCAGGTGAGAACCCAGTGAGCTTGGGAGCGCGGGAAGGAAGGGGGCTGCCTGTCTTCTCACTCCCCTCCTCAGATTTGAGGGGAAGGGCAGGAATTTGGAGATCATTGAGGGGCCTGTGTTCCTGCCATTAGCCGTGCTGTGGGGGGAGGGGGAAAGGGAGGGGACAGGCTGGCATTGCCCAGCAGTGTTCCAGCAGTTCAAGATGCTCGAAGATTCCTTCTGAAGCATCAGGGCACCTGCCACCTCCCTCCCCAGCCCCTGCCCCACATCAAGTCCAAAGGATGCTGGGGGAGGGGGACCTGCAGCTTCTTCCTGGCTCTGGGGTGGGCACCTGCCCCACTGCCCCCTCCTCCCCGCCCGCCGCAGTATGCTGGGGAGCGGCGGGCACGCCAGATGGCGTGGCTGAGAATGCGGCGACGTTGCCGGGAGGTGAGGGCTGGCACGGGTGATATGCGGCTGCGTGCCTTGTGGTGCCATGGGGGAGGGGAGGGCAGGGCCAGTGAGGTGTAGCCCCCTCCTCCGTGCTGACCTCCTGTCCTGACCTCCACTCACCACCAGGATTCTCTTCAACATCCTCTGCCTGCTCCCTGGGCTCCCACTGTGGGCCTAGACCCCACCCAAAGATGGGTGGGACCGGCCTGACGATGACAGAGGTCAGACCTCTGTTGCATCCTTGTCCCCCTTTCCCACCCTCAATCAGGGACAAAGGATGGATTGAGGAGACCCGCCATTCCTGCACCAAAGCCACTCCCCTCTGGATTGTTTCCTTGCTCTAAAGGTGGCATGACCTTTGCTCCAGTAACCTTTGACTTCTGGCCTCTAAGCCCTGTTTTTCTGAGAAGAGCTCTTTCCCTCATGGGCACTGGTCCCTGAGTTTCCCTTTGGTCAAATGCATTCTCATTTCTCACTAAGATGCTTCCTGGACACCTCCTCCTGGAAGCCTTCCCTGACCTCCCCGGTCAGGGTAGCTTACCACCCTTTGTTAGAAGGATCTATTTACCCATCTGTCTCCTTGCC